TCTTTTAGAATCACAACAGTATAAAAATATAAATCAATTACATTTTTCTAGAAAAAAGAAAAAAAACTGAAAACAAACAAACATGTGGAAGCTAAACAACATGGTATTAAACAACCAGCAGGTCAATGAAGACATCAAAGAGGAAATTTTAAAAATAACTTGACAAGGGGCACCTGCGTGGCTCAGATGGTTCACTGCCCAACTTTGGCTCAGGTCATGATCTTGCTGGTTCAGAGTTCGAGCCCTGCCTGGAGCCTATTTCAGATTCTGTGTCTGCCTCCCCCTCTCTCTGCCCCTCCCCAGCTTGTGCTCTGTCTCTCTCTCAAAAATAACATTCAAAAAACTTTTTTTTTAATTAAAAAAAAATATCTTGAGACAAATGAAAACAAAAACACAACAGTCCAATATCTTTGTGATAACAGTGAAAGCAGTTCTAAGAGGAAAATTCATAGCAATACAGGCATATCTCAAGAAGCAGAAAAATCTCTGATGGGTACTGAGGAGGGCACCTTTTGGGATGAGCACTGGGTGTTGTATGGAGACCAATTTGACAATAAATTTCAAAAAAAGAAGAAGTAGAAAAACCTCAAGTAAACAATCTAACCTTATACCTAAAAATGGAAAAACAAAAACAAAAAAAGCCCCAAGTTAGTAGAAGGAAGGAAATAATAAACATCAGAGAAGAAGTGAATGAAAGAGACTATAAAAAAAAACAGGAAAAGTCAATGAAACCAACAGCTCATTTTTTGAAACGAAAAACAAAATTAATAAACCTTTAGCTAGACTCATTGAGAAAAAAGAAGACTCAAAATCAGAAATTAAAGAGAAGTAACTGACACCACAGAAATACAAAAGACTATGAGTTTATTACAAAAAAATTATATGCCAACAACTTTGACAACTTAGAAGAAATAATAATGGAAAACATACAATCTTCTAAGACAGAATCAGGAGGAAACAGAAAATCTAAACAGACCAATTACTAGTAACAAAATTGAACCAATAATGAAAACAGTCCCAATAAACAAAAGTCTAGGACTTCTGAAACCAAATGGCTTCAAAGGTGAATTCTACCTAACATTTAAAAAACGGTTAATAGCTATTCTGCTCAAACTATTTCAGAAAATAGAAGAGGAAGGAAAATTTCCAAATACATTCTATGATGCTAGGATTACCCCAATTCCAAAACCAGACAAAGACATTACAAAAAAAGAAAACTGCATGCCAAAGTCTAATGAACACAGATGAAAAAATCCTCAAAATATGAGCAAGTTGAATTCAACAATACACTGAAAAGGATCATTCACCACAACCAAGTGGGATGTATTCTAGGGATGCAAAGATGGTTCAATATCCACAAATCAATCAAGCTGATACACCACATTAACAAAATGAAGGACAAAAATCGTAAGATCATCTCAACAGATTCAGAAAAGGCATCTGACAAAAGCCAATATCCATTCATGATAAAAACTCAACAAAGTGGGTTTAGAGGGAACATACTGCAACATAATGAAGGCCATATATGACAAACCTTCAGCTAACATCATATTCAGTGGTGAAAAACAGAACTTTTCTCCTTAGAACAGGAACAGGGCAAGAATGTCTGCTTTTGCCACTTTTATTCAACATAGCATGGGAAGTCCCAGCAGTAGCAATCAGACAACAAAAGGCATCCAAATTGGTTAGGAAGAGGTAAAAGTGTCACTATCAGTACATGACAGGATAATACATACAGAAACCCCTAAAGACTCCACCAAAAATTTATTAAACTACATTAATTCAATAAAGTTGGAGGATACAAAATTAATATGCAAAAATCTCTTGCATTTCTATACACTAATAATGAAGTAGGAGAAAGGCAAGTTTAGAAAACCATTCCATTTACAGTTGTACCAGAAAGAATAAAATACCTAGGAACAAATTTAACCAAAACTGTGAAAAATCTGTACTCTGAAAACTCAAAGACACTGATATAAGAAATGGAAAATGACACAAACAAATACAAAGAAAGACCACACTCATGGACTGGAAGAATACTGTTAAAACGTCCATCCTACCCAAAGCAACCTACAGATTCAATGCAGTCCCAATCAAAATACCAAAAGCATTTTTCACAGAACTTTAACAAATAATCCTAAAATCTGTACAGAATCACAAAAGACTCTAAACAGCCAAAGCAATCTTGAGAAAAAATAACAAAGCTGGAAATAACACAATCCCAGATTTCAAGCTATAGTACAACACTAAAGTAATGAAAACAGAATGGTAGTGGCACAAAAACAGACACATAGATCATTGGAACAGAATAGAACAGAATAGAATGCTTTAGGGTCAATCTGTTACAAAGGAGAAAGGAATATACAATGGGGAAAAGTAGTCTCTTCAACAAATGATGCTGGGAAAACTGGACAAATATAAAACAATAAAACTGGACCACTTTCTAACACCATACACAAAAATAAACTTAAAATGTATTAAAGACCTAAAGGTAAGACCTAAAACCACAAAACTAGAAGAGAACAAAGGCAGTAATTTCCCTGACATCAGCTGTAGCAGCATTTTTCTATGTCTCCAAAGACAAGGGAAACAAAAATAAAAATAAGCTATTGAGACTACACCAAAATGAAAACCTTTTGTACAGTGAGGGAAAATTTCAACAAACAGAAAGGCAACCTATGGAATGAGAGAAGGTATTTGCAAATGATATAGCCAATAGAGTTAACATCAAACATAAAGACCATCTACCATGCTATACCCCCAAACACATATGATCCAAATTTAAAAAAGGGTAGAAAACCTAAATAAACATTTTTCCATCCATAAGACATCCAGATGGTCAAGAGACACCTGAAAAGATGCTCACCATCATTAATCATCAGGGAAACACAAACAAAACCACAATGAGATATCACCTTATTACAGAGTTAGAATGGCTAGTATCAAAAAGACAATAAATAACTAGTGTCAGTGAGGATGTGTAGAAAAGGGAGTCCTCCCACACTGTTGGTGGCAATGTAAATTGGAGCAACCAATGTGGAAAACAGTATGCAGTTTCCTCAAAAAATTAAAAATATAAATACCATTATAATCCAGCAATTCCACTACTGGGTGTTTACTCAAAGAAAATGAAAACCCTAATATAAAAACACAGAGGCACCCCATGTTTGCTGCAGTATTTACAATATCTGAGATATGGAAGCAACCTAAGTGTTCAATGACAGTTAAATGGATAAAGATGTGGTATGTACATGTACATACACACACACACACACACACACACACACACACTACACACAATGGAGTATTACTCAGCTATAAAAATGAATGACATCTTGCCATTTACAACGTGGACAGACCCAGAGGATATTATGCTAAGTGAAATAAGCCTAACAGAGAAAGACAAATACCATATGATTTCTTATATGTGTAATCTAAAAAGAAGAAGAAGAAGAAAAAAAAAAAACAAGCAAACAACCAAAAAGTAGAAACAGACCCATAAACATAACAATGTGATTGTCAGAGGCTGGAGGTGGAGAGGCATGGGTAAAATGGGTAAAGGGGAGTAAGAGGTATAGGACTCCAGTTATAGAATGTATAAATCACAAGAATGAACGATACAGCATAGGAATATAGTTGATGCTACTATAATAGTAGAATATACAGTGACAGTAGCTACATTTGTCAGCACAGCAAAACAATGTAGAATAATCACTATGTTGTACACCTGAAACTAATGTAACCTTGTGTCAACTATACATCATTATAAAAAGAAATCAAAAAAGAAAATATAATCTTTCCAACAAAAGGTTTTGAACTGGATATTCGTAGAAAAAAGTGTGCCCTGATCCTTAAATTATACTATACACAAAAATTAACTAAAAATAATCACAGACCTAAATGTTAACTATCTAGAAACACTTAAAAATTTTCTTCATAAACTTGGGGTGGTTAAAGATTACTTACAGAGAACATAAGAAACACAAATTATAAAGAATTCCCACACATCAGACTTCACCAAAATTAGAAACTTTTGCTTTTCAAAACACATCATCATGAAAATGAAAAACCAAGTCCTAGACTACAAGAACATACCGGCAATACGCATAACTGACAAAAGACTTATATCAACAATAAAGAACTCTAAAAATTCCACAAGACAACAATCTAATAAAAAATGAACCAAGATTTTAAAATAGTTACTTCACAAAGAGAGAGATGACAAATAAATACATGAAAAGATTCTTGATGCCATTAGTCATGACAGAAATGCAAATGAAACCATAATAATTTAGCATTACACACTTACTACAACAGCTGTAGGTAGAACAAATGTTGGCAAGAATTTGCAGAACTGAAATCCTAAAATATAAAGTGGTATGATCTCTTTGGGAAAATGTCACTTTCTAATTAAGTGAAACATATAAATACCACTTGACCCAGCAGTTCTCTTTTTAAATAGTTACCCAAAAGAAATGTCAACCCAAAGACCTGTGGAAATGTTCATAGCTGCTTCCTTAATAAGCTAGAAGTGGAATCAATGCAAATATTCTTCAATTTGTAAGTTGGATGAAGTGTGGTATTATTCAGATGATGAAATATTACTCATCAATGAAAAGGAACCACTAATGGTATATGCAACACAGATAAATGCAAAATAACAAGTGTGTGGAAAATGCCAGACTCAAAAGATTACACACTGTGTAATTCCATTAATATGAAACAGTCTGTTTTATAGACTGATCTGATGGGAGGATCAGTGTTTGGGCTTGACAAAGGGGGTAGGCTTACTGTAACAGAATATGAGGGAACATTCTGGGAATATGGAGATGGTCTATGTTCCGATGGTAGTGGTTTTATATGTGTGTATAAATCTGTCAAAATACATTTAACTTGGCATGAGTACATATTCTTATATGAAAGTTGTACTATGGCACATTTGTTTAATCACAAAAATTTAAGAACCATGTCTTCACATTTAATTTTTCAGGGGAGCTTACCTTATTGAGTGCAACAATGAAGGGACATTTTTTAGATTTCAGAAGGTTAATAGATTCAATTGTTTGGGGCTCCAAACCATGCATAATATCAACGACTAAAATAGCAATATCACAAAGAGAGCTTCCTCTGTTTCTTAGATTACTGTTGAAAAGAGGGGAAAAGATGAATAAGTAGAAATCTTAAAATTACTATTCTGCTTAAACAAATTTTTAATTTCTTTGTAAAACCTACAGAAAAAAAAACCAAAATGAAGCGCATGCATTAACATTCAAGTGCCATTAGCCCTTAACTTGCCAAATGCTTATCTGACACAGTGAATTGACATCAGCTGGAATGAGTTAGTTCCAGAAGTTACTCCAATATTTCTGCAAATTGTACTGGCCAAGTTTTTTGCGCTAAGGAATATGGCCAAGAGGCAACAGGATAAATTCCACCTATAATGGGTTTCACAGGAGACAGACCAAGTATGTATTAGGATTTGGTCTTTCAAAGTATAAAAGATCTCTACAAAATACAAGTATCCAAATAAAGTACTGCATATTCAGTAAGGCACAGATAAGGATCAATAGTGGGACCACATATCTTAAAATACAACCCAAAAATTGATTAATCAGATGTTCTGACTCACTGAACTTTTAGACTTAATCGTTTCAAGCAGTTTGGTTTCAAGTTGCTCTTACCTGAAAGACTCATGGCCGGGAGTATCAATAATCAGCATCCCTGGAATTCGTACATTCTCTCTATCAAACTAGAAAAGGTGAAGAAAAGTGGAGAGCTTCAGGAAGCCAAACTTTATAAAGTTTCTTATAAAAACAATTATTCTGCCATGAAAACTTAAAAATATCACCACTTCCTTTTCTAAAAAATGGTTTTAAAACAGTGAGTCAAGCAGCAAAGCACAACAGTATTTTCATTAATATCAAAAGGAGCTTTGTAAGTAAAAAAATAAGAAAACATTCTCTTTGTTAAGGTCATAAAAATTTTTGAGCAGATTATCAGTAAGTAATAAATGACAGCAGTCATCTTAGAGTGACTATCTATAAAAAGGTGACATGCAAGAAGAGGTTCTCGCTGTTTGAAAAATGTATCTGTTCCAACTTTAAAGCAATTCTAAGCTTTGAAAAATATCCTAAAATACATTTTAAAGAAAATTTACCTCATCAACCTGAAATATCTTTAAGAAAGACTTCATATGCTGCTTTATTTAAATAACATCATAAACACTTAATTTTCTGGACAAAAGTTCATTAATGAATGGAAAAAAATTACAACATGCCTGATATGCACATTCTCCTTTAACCTAAAGTGTGGCACTGACCAACAAATCTCTCTCTCACGCACACACAAAACTTTTACTTGTTTATCTATACTTTTTGTCAATCTTCAAATGATTTTTCAAAATCTTATCTCCTATGTCAAAATGTTTCATCATGTAAAAACTCTCATATTTGCATACTGGTGATCTTAAATCAACATTCACTGGGCACCATAATTATTTCTATTTTGTATTTCTGGAATACAAAAAAATAGAATTGTCATATAAAAGTTATCCTGAGAACTTTAATATACGTCTAATAAAAATCGTGCTCTTTAACGGTGTTCTAAAATAAAACGAGATTTCAAGTTCTGGCAACTAGTGGAATGAGCTGTTGAAAAATCTCCAATGACTAACATAGAAATACCAGATAAATTACAACCAAGATAAATTCTAAATTATGAATTTAAAAAACTATAATTGAAGAAAATGGTGCTCAAATATTTTAAACTACATACTGAGATGGAACTGGAAATTTTCCACATAACTGGAAAACTGACCTGGAACAATCAACACCAAGATGCAGAAAGGCCACATTACTTATAAAAGGATGAAAACCAGCTTGTGATCAAACTTGAAAGGCAATAATTTATGTGAGAAGAAACCAGCGTAACATTTAAGATATTTAAGGAAAGGAAATGAGAATCAAATATTTTATATGGAGCCAACTGACTTTCCAGGATGAAGGCCACAAAGTATACAATATTCAAAAACTCAAAGAATATTATTCCCATTATTCCTTCCTTAGGAATCTACCAGAAAACAAGCTTCATAAAACATAATCTCAACCAAACCTCCCTTCCCCAAACTGGAGACAAATTTGTAGACCCTTTCTATATACTAAACTAAGACAAAATAAGGAGTAGAGACACATTAGCATGTAATAATTTATCATGTGTGTCATTTATCAATTTTATTACTTCTCAGTTCCAAATTTACCCTTTTCACCTGCTCTAGGATAATGGAATTACGGATTCTTTCTGTTTTTTTTTATAAGGCCCAGTTCCAAGACTGGAGCATGGTATGTAGATGAGCCTGGAAGATTCTGCTACACCAAACAGCATGGATGCAACCAAACACTACTAAAAGCGAACCAAAAAGACTCAGTAGCCAATCAGTAGATGAAGATGAGGCTATCTCACCACAAGAATAAATGAATTAAAACACAGTAAATATGTTTCAATCCATGAGTTTATAGCAATACAAAACCAAACAAAATTAGTCACTCTTTATTTTTAAAGTTAGTAAATAAGGTAAAGGATTAGGCATTTATTCTGCCTTCACTATACATATTATCCTGAGTAACCAAACAGCAAACCAGGCAGTTTTTCTAAAGAAGTAATCCAATAAATAAACACAATAATAGGCTTAGAATAGCAACATTTTGCAACCTCTAACACATTAAAGGTAGAGATTACTTTAAAAGTTCCTCCTGAGTAGAAGAGTGTTTTGATTGGAAAGGGACATAAGAGAGGTCTTCTGAGGTAATTGCCAAGGTTCTATCTCCTAACATGGATTACACAAAGGTTTTGCTTTTTAATGATTAAGTTTTTACCTTAATCTTATGTGATTTTCTTTATTGTGTTATATTTTGGATAAATAAGCTGAATATCTCCAAAGTAGAGAATATAAGGGAGATAAAGAAAATACAATCAATTTGACAGAAGCTAAAAAGGGTGTGGGAGGAAACAGTTTTTAAACATGGAGATCTATGGTGAAAGTGTTAAAACATGTAGGCGAAACATACTCTAACTTCAAAATAGTGATTGCCTCTGGGAGCACGAGGAAAGGAAATGAAACTTGAGGGGTCTATTCATCTAATGTTTTCTTTTGGGGGGAAAAAAAAGATCTGAAGCAAAACAGAGCAAAGTGGCACAAGTGTTAATTATAAATAGTGAGCACGTGGGTCTTTATACTAACCTTTTTTCCTATATTTGAATTTTTGTTAGAGATTGAAACATGCAAAATACATTTACATTTGTACTTACATTTTTAATCATCTTAGTCTGTTCATTAATAGCTTCAAGGGGAACATTGGTGGCCCCAATTTGTTGCGTAATGCCACCTGCTTCACCATCTTGTACATGTGTGTGACGAAGCTGGGATAAGACAGCAGATTCAGATTTGTATTTCAAAATATAAAAAGAAGCAAAAGCAGTAAGAAGGTAGCAACCTATTTAACAGAACTGCCTATATATGCTATGGTTTCTATTAACTTTTTATATCATTCACTTAAGAAGTTGTATCAAAGCTAACAATATTTTCTTACTTTATCTAGAATTTTTGTCTTCCCTGTATCCACATGTCCAAGTACACAAATAACAGGAGCTCTTAGCTTTTCTGTATTTACATTTTTACTGTGTTCAAGTCGTCGTTTCTAGGAATGAAAAAAAAAATCACAAAATTATTTCAAACCTTGACTGCCATCATCCTTTACATTATGTTGCCTTAGCAAGAGAATGCCAGAACCTTCATCCAAGGTTCTCTGTTGATTTAACTACATGTAACTGCACTTTACAATGTAAACTTTACAATCTAATTCCCTTTACAGTACCTTTGGACAAAGGGAAGCCTGCTAAAATAGATTTCAGAGCAACATTATTAAATTAAGAGTAAAAATCATGTAAAATTTTGGCTCCAACTTTCTGAACACTTTTGTACATTGCTTATTTAATGGAATATAAGAAATTGATCTTCTATCATACTTAGTATACAGTACAACCTCTAACTTATGTGGGGATTTATATAAAAGGAGGTATATATACTCTTGCATTCACACAATTTCATTAGAACTTCAAAACTATAAAATAAAATATTTCAAAGCAATTTATTTGAAAACTTTGATAGTGTACAAACGCTATAAAACCTTTCAATTGAGGGGCACCTGGGTGGCTTAGTCAGTTAAGCGTCTCTTGACTTCAGCTGTGGTTTATTAATTTGAGCTCCACATCAAGCTCTGTGCTAAAAGCCTGGAGCCTGCATGGGAATCTGTTTCCCTCACTCTCTCCCACTTGCATGTGTGCGCTCTCTGTCTCTCAAAATAAGTTAAAATAAACTTTACCGAAAAACTTTCAATTAAGAGAGGGTATATTTAATCCTCAGCCTAAGAGTCTAATGACATTTCCTACCTTAAGATACCACTCATCAAGCCTGAGAGGCATGTTCTTGGATCATGTGTTTCTCTTGTAGCATACACCTAGCTACTTCAGCTGAAAACCAAACAAAAACACACATGCCAGCAGCTCCTTGAAAGGCCAACTTTTTGAGCATAGTAAACTGGGCATTTAAAGGAGATAAGACTTCTAACAAAATTTTGATGTAATTTATAAAACTATTTTCCATCTAAAAACCATTTTTGTAAAAATTATTTACTTTCTACCACTAGACACTGGATCTTTCTACAGAAAATGGAATGAAAAAACATTTTGGAACGTCAAAAGTCAGATGTATTTGCTAACAAGGAGTCATACACAAGAACCTTACACTCTGTAAGACTCAAATATAGACATCATGACCTTAGTTAGGATCTGATATGGTTGAAAATTTGCCTTTTCTCCCACACTTGGTGTAGCATTACAATTTTCTGGAAGGCAATGTAGTTTAGACTTTAACTCAGAAATTCTACCTGAAAGTATCTGTCCTGAAACAATGACATAAGCATACAGAAATGCATATGTACAACCGTGTTTGTTCACTGCAGTATTGTTTTATAACAGCAAAAATTAGTAACCACTTAATCATCTGTAGTTGGGGATTTCCTCAAACCCAAGGCTGAAACCTAGTGGTTGCATAGAATCATTTAGAGACTCCTTCCACAATGGAGATTCTTATCCAAAAGTCTAATATGCGTTTTAGAAAGTTATATGTGGCAAGGTTTTGGAATCATGAAATGTTATGGACTGAAGTGCATCTCTCCCAAATTTATACACTGAATTCTTTTTTTTTTTTTTAATTTTTTTTCCAACGTTTATTTATTTTTGGGACAGAGAGAGCAGACATGAACAGGGGAGGGGCAAGAGAGGGAGACACAGAATGAGCAGGCTCCAGGCTCTGAGCCATCAGCCCAGAGCCCGACGTCAGCGGGGCTCGAACTCACTTGACCGGACGAGATCGTGACCTGGCTGAAGTCGGACGCTTAACCGACTGCGCCACCCAGGCGCCCCTATACACTGAATTCTTAACTCCTAATGTGACTGTATTTGGAGATGGGGCTTTTAACGAGGCAATTAAAGTTATATGAACTCATATGGGTGGGGCCGTAATCCAATAGGACAAGTGTCCTTAAGAGGAGAAGTTAAAAAAAAAAAAAAAAAAAAATCTCTTTTTGAGCCTGCACAGGGTAAAGGTCATATGAGGACTCAGTGAGAAGGCAGGCATCTGCTAACCAGAGAGAGCCCTCATCAGAAAACCACCCTCTGACTCTTCAATCTTGAACTTTTAGCCTTAAAAGCTATCAGAATATAAATTTCTGTTGTTTAAAGCACCCAGTCTGAAAAATTTTGTTCTGGCAGCTGAAACAGACTAATTAGGATCTTTCCATAAGATGGAGTACAATTTGTAGCAGTAAAGGTACTGAGGCAGGACTTCTTCAATGATGAAATGAATGGCTCAGCAAATCCTCTCCCCCAAAAGGAAACAAAACTGAGCAAAATAACCAAAACAACAACCACTGAAAGACTCTAGAAACCAACCAAAGGCAACATAACAAACTGAGAAAACATTAATTCAAGAAAATCTATTGCCCACCTGTGAAAGTAACAGAAGCCTATGAAGTTTTAGTCTAGACTTGTTCCATCATACTCCCCACACTCCCACAGCTCCATGGGGTGAAGAGGTATGAGATAGAGGAGCAGGGGGTTTCATACGTGAAAGCACTGTCTAAAACAGGAGAGATGCGAATGGCAAAAAAAGAGAAAAGGCTAAAATCGCAACTAGACTAAGGTCTCAATAGTGGTGGGGCAAGCAATAACCTGGAAGGATCAATCAGAAATTTAACAGAGGAGTATATGGAACAAGACAGCCAAAGTAGGCACTGATAAGATCCTATCTATCACTGGTACTCTAGAAAGCTGTGTTCCTACAGAGGGCTGTCAGAAGAAACCAGACAGGTCCTTAGTAAATTACTCAGTACCGGCTCAACAAGAGGCTTACAAATGCATAAAGAGTGGACTAGTAAACTGCCATATCCATTGGGAAATGGTGGAATCCTTACCAGCTCCAGGTGTTTAAGCACAACCACTGACAAGTCACTTGGCTGACCACTAGGATTAGCAATCAGGAACAAGCCCTAAGAAGCCAGGCTTAAGAAACATACCAAAAACAAACAAATAACTGAGAAAAAACATCATCAGCATCATACTACAGAAGCAATCCACAAGACTCAATGATCAAGTAAACAAAAATAGCTAAAACCACTACATTTGTAAGGAGCTAAAAGAATTCATATATTCTCTAAATATACAGATATATCTAAATCTATAGATATATCTAAATTTATAGAATTGCTATATTCTCTAAAATGTCTACTTACAAATGAAAAATTACAAGACATACAAAGAAACAGGAAAATGTGACCTATAAAAGAAAAAGTGGTCTACAGAATGTCAGAAACCTTGGGGCGCCTGGGTGGCTCAGTTGGTTAAGCATCCAACTCTAGATTTCGGCTCAGGTCATGATCTCAGTCAGGGTTTATGAGTATGAGCCCTGCATCAGGCTTTTGCTGGCAGTGTGGAGCATGCTTGGGATTCTCTCTTCCTCTCTCTCTTTCTCTGTGCCCTTCCCCAGTTCATTCTCTCTCTCTCTCCCTCTCTCTCTCTCTCTCTCTCTCCAAGTAAGTAAATAAACTTAAAAAAAGGTGAGAAGCTCAGATATTAGACTTAGCAAAGACTTGAAAGCAGCTAATATAAATATGTTCAAAGGACTAAAGGGAACCATATTTAAAGAAATAAAGGAAAGTGTAATGATGACTAATCAACAGAAGACATCAACAAAGAGAAAACAAATCACTGTAAGTTAAAAAATTCATTAGCAAATTAAAAACAAATCACTAGAGGGGCTCAACAGTAGATGCAAACTGGCAGAAGAATCAAAAGTCATAGATTAAGTGAGGTTATATAATCTGAACAATAAAAAGAAAAGACAACTGGGAAAAGTGAAAAGACCTCAAGAGACCTGTGGGATACTCTCAAGTGCACCAATGTGCATATAATGGGAGTCCAGAAGGAAGGGAGAAAGAGAAATAGGCAGAAAAAATACCTGAAGAAATAATGGCAGAAAACTTTGCAAAACTGGATGAAAAACCTTCATCTACATATCTAAGACACTGAATAAACTCTAAGCAGAATAAATACAAATATATCCTCATCAACACACATTACAGTTAAGTTGTTAAAAATCAAGGTTAAAAAAAAATCTTCATATAGAAAAATCACTCATTGTGTACAAAGGCACCCAAGTAAGATTAATAGCTTAATTTTCATCAAAAAAAAAAAAAAAAGAGGCCAGAAGGCAATGGGATAACATATTCAAAGGGCTAAATAGAAAACCAAAAACTGGATCTCTGAGATGTTCAAAAAGGTGGAAAACCTTTCACTAGATTGACGGGGGGCAGGGGGTGAGGATGGGAGGAAAGACACTGGTCACCAAAATCAGAATCAAAAGAGACACCACTAACTTTACAGAAACTGAAAAGACTGTAAAAAGATACAATGAAGAACTTCATGCTCACAACCTAGATAAAACACAATAGCTATTAGAAAGACAAAAATTACTGAGCATGACTCAAGATGAAAAAGAAAATATGACAAAAAGATAACAAGAAATTGAATTAGAGATTTATAAATCTCCCCATAGAAAAAAGCTTTGTTAGTAAATTTTGCCTACCATTTAAAACAGAAAAAACAATGTTTCACAAACTCTTGCAGAAAAAAAGAGGAGGAAGACTTCCTGACCAATCCTAAGGAAGCTAATTTTAAATTGACACCAAAGCCAGACCAACATATGATAAGCAAAGCTACTGATCAATATCACTTATAAGTATAGACCACAAAAACCTCAGCAAAATATTGCCAAATCCAGTAACATATAAAGAGAATTACATACCAGGATCAAGTGGGATATATTCTAGTAATGCAAGTGTTAGCTTAGCATTTGAAAACTAATGTTAATACATCATATATTAACACACACACAAAAAAAAAAATCCACCTCAATACATATCATAGAAAAAGTACCCATCTCCATTTATGATATAAACTCTCACAAATTAGGAAAAGAAAGAAAGGAAGTTCCTCAAACGTATAAAGGGCACTATTGACATCATAGTTAATGGTGAAAATCTGAATGCTTTCCCCACAAAGAATGTGTTAGCTTAACACATAACACACATATTATTAGAATAAAAAACATTTCAGTATAGCTACAGGATACAAGACCAATCTATAAGACTCAACTGTATTTCTTTATACTGAAAAATGAAATGAAAAAATTTTTTCAATTGTGATCCCATTCAATAGTATCAAAAACAGTAAAATACCTAGTAATAAATTTAAAAGAATTACAAATCTCAAACTATGAAAACTATAAGACACTACTAGAAGAAACTGTAAAAGATCCAAGTGAATGTATAATCATCAGCCTATTTCAATAGTATTAAAATAGATAATTCTCCCTAAATTGATCTATAGATTCAACACAATCACCAGCTAAATCTAAGCAAGATTTTTGCAGAAACTGACAAACTGACCATAAAATTTATATGGAAAAGCAAGTGACCTATAATAGCCAAAATAATCTTGAAAAGGAATAACAATGGAAGATTTCCCTATCTCAAAACTTACTATAAAACTATAATAAAGACAGTGTGGTACTAGCAGAAGAACAGATAATACAGGTGAATGAAACAGAAATCAAAGTCCACAAATAAACCTTCATATTTCCGACCTATTGATTTGTCAAAGATGCCAAAGCAATGGGAAAAGGATAGCTTTTTCAAACAATGATGCTAGTTAAATTAATAAAAAATGAACTTTGTCTATGACCCCACATCATGCATAAAAGGTATCTTAAAACAGATAAGAGGGGCGCCTGGGTGGCTCAGTCGGTTAAGCATGCAACTTCAGCTTGGGTCATGATCTCGCGGTCCATGAGTTCAAGCCCCACATCGGGCT